AGCTTATAACGAAGAAATGCACCATTTATTGTTTCATGGACAAACTACGAATCAATGTTTCAACATTGACTTCCAAATCGGAATTTTGTATGTTGAGGTAGTAATTTTATTAGCCAAGGTACTAACAGAAAATGAACAATTTATTTAGAAGTCATTTTCTTAATGAAGATGGTGAACCATGAAGGCATACATACATAAAAACAAAAGTTGAAAGCATTATAATAACTTCAGGCCTTAAATAACCCCTTGTTACAGGTTGTTGAATAGCTGTATTAGTTGACTTCAGTTAGTTAGTTGGTTGATTTTAGTTAGTTTCCATTGCACTCTAACAAATACATACAATTCCCTCTTGAATTATCATCATCCAATCATTCAAAAAAGAGTGACATACTTGTATGGAAGTAAAGCTATGCCACATGGAGTTATTTCCTTTTTTTTCCTCAAAATGGTGAAATCCCTTACTTCTCCAAGTTCCAGAAGTTAGTGTTGCACTTACCTTCTATGTCTCCTTGGCCCCTTTCTTGGTAGAAAGTCTGCATTATTGTCTACTGTCAATATTCCAGCCACATAGCCCCTGTTGAGACTGAATTTCCCATCAAAACTACCAATTTTGTGACCCTCACTACCAAACGAAAAGGACTCATCAAGCGAGGTGCCAATAACAGCCACCAAACAGATTTTTCTGCAGTGTCTTGGCCTGAATAATCCTGCTAAAATAGCTGCTAACATAGCCAACACCAATCTGTCTATCCTGAGCACAAAATCTAAAGGGAAGGAATATTCAGGGAAGAAGCACTTGCAGTGAGTCTCTGCTACTCCCCAATAGTCCTCCAACCTTGCCTCGCGGACAATTATTTCCGGGGACACTGCTGGGAACAAATCAGCAACTTCACTAGCCCTGCAAATTCCTGAAATTCAAAAACCAGATTTTTATCTCCTACTGAAGTTTCCATCAGAGTATAATAAATGGAAACAAGCATTTCCAGAATGCTTTGCATCAGGTGAAATCAAAACCTATGAAGTGAACATGGAACTGCATGATTTGATGTAACTATATTTATGTATGATGCTCCACATTGTTGACTATAGTCAACTTGAAAAGGGTTTGAATAAGATGAATTGAATGGAGAAAATTTCCCAATAATTTTCAGAAGGACAAGAAATAAATCACAACCCAGTGATTCAATGATGCGTAACTCTGAAGGCAGCCCTGCAGAACAGGTAAGTGTGCAGAGAAGTACCTGAGTTGTGGAGAGAAAGGAGAGAGAATTCATTGGAGGAAGGTGAAACCTTGGAAGGGAAAGAGTTTGATTTCTTAGAAGTGATATTGAAAGGTGAGAATTTGGTGAGAGTTGAGGATACAGAGATATGCAAGGGAATAATAGACAGCATTTCGAGGAGGGTCTCTGTGTCTGTTCTGGAACTCCCACTTCATTGGAAATATCTAATGTTTGTGTTTGTGTTTGGTATAAGAGAGACTGAGTTACATGTAACATGGCATGTGTGACTAGAGTCAAGACAAAAGAAGGTGAATCAAATAGGATGAGATGTTCTTCCTTATATAGGTAAGACAATTTTTTTCCTGCCTATAAGAAGGTATGTGTCATTTCTTAAAAGACTTTGGATATAAGATAATAAAATATTTTTACTTTTTTAAATAAATTAGAAAATTATTGCTATTTTTTATATTTTAAATAATTTTATAAAATAAAAAATTATTTAAAATAAGATGGTATTTTGTATAATTAAAAATTGTTAACTCAAGGTTCATCACAAGTTATTTTGAATAAATGTTGTAAAACAAAACAAAATATATCATTTATGTCTAATTGCACAGAAAACGTTTTGTTAGATGAGGATAAATGCATTGTTTGTTCATATGTAGTATATATTTTTAAAATTAATATTAATATGGTTTAAAAAGAGATCACATATCAACCTAGCTTAATTCTTAATTTAATTTTTATATTCTATTTTAAACTCAATTCTCTTTATATTGTTTAAATAGAAAGAGTAAATCTTTATAGGAACTCAATGAATCCTTATATTAAGAAATATAATTACAGAGGAAATAATTATTCTCGATTCAATTTAATATTTCTGATTAAATAATTAATTCGTTTATTTTCTTTTCTTAATATCAAATCCTATATTATTGATGAAATTAAAACCATCTTGTTATTGATTGAAGTGTTACTAAATCGATATTAACTATGATGAAAAGTGTATTTTTGTTAGCATTAAGCCAACACCTTATTTATTATAATTAATTTATACAAATTGGTTTTTACTACTTTAAATTGAATGGGTGCACACATGATTTTCATGCATTATAATATAGTGAGAGAACATAAATTTCAATATATTTTCTAAATCTTTCTTATAATAATTGTTAAATAAATTTCAATTGAATGCATTTTTGTATGGTATAGTATCTAATTCAATCGGTAAGTTAAGTAATAAGTCAGCATCAATGATAAACGTGATTTGTTAACCGAATAGTATAGATTCAAAGTTATTTGGTATGTTCCTTAAGTTAATGATTAAGTAGGCCAAATGAGCATGTGAGTATTGGGTCAGCGAAAATATTAGTGCTATTAGGCCGATATCAATTTAAGGTCTGCAAAACATATGTGTTATTAGGACATCGTCAATTTAAGGTCTATTAAGTACCTATAAATATAAGGGTAAGCTACGAAGGTAAGGTTAGCGTAATTGAGTTCTTATACTTAATTGTGAATTAAGTTCATTTATTAAAATCTGACTTGAACGTCGGAGTGCCTTTAGTAGGCACCTACTGCTCGACTTGGATTTGAAGAAATATAAATTTTTAAGCAAAGATGTTGATAATTGTATATTTATATTTACATTTGTGGTTTAAATTTAAAATTTTGATATGATTTTTGTACTTAAACAATTGATTTAAAGAGGATTTATGACAATTGAAGTTATTGAAAATTAAAAAGATTTAAAAAGTGATTTTTAGTGGCATAAATTATTCTTGGATACTCTAATGTTTATTTATGCAGCTGAAGTTAAAGTTGTATTCATTTCAAGTGTGAAATTAATTGATCCAAAGTTACAACATGAAACCTAAAATCAAAATTCTGAAAAGGAAATTACAAATAGTTAAAGGCATCCCTATTTTTACAACATACACCTTTCGCTGGGCAGACCATCAAATTTTACTCCTACGCCCCTAAATTTTTACAATTACACCCCTCATTTTGAAATGGGCAAAACAGTTAGTCCTTATTCCTGTACCCCTACTTTGTCTAAGTTCACCCCTATACCACTAACAAATCAGACTCAACCAGATCATACCATGTGGCAATCCTAACTCTAAAGATATGTCCAACCAGAACATGCCACATAATCATCCCAACTACATCAACATTCTTACACGTCATCTTCTTCTTCATCCAACCATCCATCAACAGAAATCTTAGATATGGCCAACCACCATGCATTGGCCACCGTCAACCATGGCAGCAACCACATGCCTCATTCCTCCTTCAACCAACAAAATCTCATTCCACCACCGCGAGCAACCATGGCCTTCTCATGCAAACCACCATCATCATCGTGTCGCCACGACAAAGCTCTTCGTGCAACCACCAAAACACCATGATGCATAAACCAAACCACAATCTTCACCGCAAAGCACCTACAACATATCGAACCCCAATTTTCAAACCAAATAAAAAACACAGGAGAACAAAACCCATCGCGAAGAACCCTAAAGTAGCGAACTCCTTAAGCCGCCACCATCATCGAGCCACCTGCAACCACAAACAGACCTGTAAATTCCAAAAAAACCCTCAATCCGTAAAACCCTAAATCGTGTTGCACCTTTCACCCAATCGAAAACCTAATTGCAATCTCCTCTACATGAATCGTCCAACCTCACACTTCCATAGCCGCAAACCAACCAGCAAATCGCGAGACATAGAACTGCGATGAACCTACGAAGAAGAACCTCATCGTCCTCCCCAAATCGCAAATCGTGAAGCCACCGTGAGCAACCTAAACAATCAAAACCATAGAACCAATTCGCATATCTGCAATCACGAACCACGCGAGCTCCGCACCACGAGTCATCTCTATCACCACCTGCAAGAATCCCGAAACACAAAAAGAACCCCGAAATTGTGACCTTCTGAAGAGAAACTTTAAATCGCGTCACGGACCATCTTCGGGTTGGGTCTATCAAAGAGGAGGTTCACTAGGGAGACACAAACACCAATTACATCTAAGCCCAACAATATAAGGGATTGACACCACTCTCTACCCAAAACCTTAAGGAAACAAGTTAATTGGTTTTTCATCTTTATATAGTGCTCTACTTTCTCATTTCTATCCAATGTGGGACTTAGACACACACTTGGATTCCCAAAAATATCTCCTTCAAGGGTGAGTCCCTTCCACATAGGTACACTCCCCCTCGAATAGGGAAGCATTCCCAACTAACCACAACCACGAGTAGCCCTTTCCAATCGTCGTTCATCTTAATGAGACTTGCTTACCTAAATACCATTTGCCAGCAAGACTTTCGGTATAGGGATCATTATAAATATTGTGACCTTGTGATCATTATATACATAGGATTTCCTTGTTTCTTCTTAAATGTTGGTTGGTTTAGGAGATATTTATTTTATGTTAGTCTGTTTTGAGTTTGTTAAAATAAATTGGTTATCATGCAATCCTATTTTCTAGGATACGCAAATGAAATCTAGGCTAGTTAACCACTCATGTATCTTTAGCATGTAAAATTATGGGTGGATATAGTCCTTTCAGTTACTTCTTTTTTGGTCAGTTCTCTTTGTATTTTGGCTTTATAAGTCAACTTATCCTTTGTTAATTTAATAAGAAATTTTGTAGCACATACCTTCACTGTGTATATAGGGGCCTGATCCTAAATCTCCTTAAGAGTGAGAGAAACAATGATGAGTGAGTGGAAAGAAACAACAAATTTCTTTCAGAAAGAGTGTGAAAACAAAATGGCAGAGAATGATAAGCATGTGCAACATGCGATCCCAAAATTTGCTGGTCATTATGATCATTGGGCAAAGTTGATGGAAACTTTCCTACGTTCCAAACAATATTGGAATTTGGTAGAGCATGGGATCACCAAAGTTGTAGATGAAGCAACACCTTTAGAGGAAGAAGTTAAATTGGTGAAGGAGCATAAGTTAAAAGACTTGAAGATAATGAATTACCTTTATCAAGCTATAGACTGTGAAGTGTTGGATACAATACTTAATGATGAAACGTCCAAAGACATTTGGGATTCAATGAAGCAAAAATTCCAAGGCTCTACTAGGGTGAAAAGAGCACAGTTGCAAGCATTACGTAGGGAGTTTGAAATTTTACAGATGAAGAAAGGAGAGATAGTCAATTTGTATTTTGCTCGTACTCTAAAGATTGCTAAAAGAATGAAAGCGTGTGGTGAACATATGGATGAGAGTGTTATCACTACGAAAATATTAAGCTCCATGATCTCTAAATTTAACTACGCTGTTTGCTCAATTGAAGAAACAAATAATTTAGAGATTATGACAATTGATGAGTTACAAAGTAGTCTCTTTGTTCATGATGATGAAGAAAATGTGCTTCACATTACCAATGAAGATAAAGGAGGAAGGGGAAGAGGACGGGGAAGACATTTCATTAGAGACGGCCAAGGAAGAGGAAGAGGAAGACAACCCTTCAACAAAGCAAACATTGAGTGCTTTAAATGTCACAAGCTTGGACATTTTCAATATGAATGTCCCACTTGGCAAAATGCAAACTATGTTGAGGCTGAGGTACAGGATGAAATAAAAGAAGAAGATGAACTCTTATTAATGGCCTATGTTGATCACAAACAAGGGAAGGAAGAAAATTGGTTTCCTGACTCTAGGTGCAGCAATCATATGAGTGCCAATGAGGAATGATTTTAAAACATGGATGAAAGCTTTAGGCACACTGTCAAGCTTGGTAATAATACTAGATTGAATGTAATGGGAAAAGGAAATGTCAGATTGAATGTCAATGGATTTACAAATGTGATATCAAATGTTTACTATGTTCCTGATCTTAAGAATAATCTTTAAAGCATAGGACAACTTCAAGAAAAAGGGCTCACTATTGTGATTCAGAATGGGATATGTGCAGTTCATCATCCTGGACGTGGGCAGATTATGAATGTTCAAATGAGTGGAAATAGGATGTTTTCTGTGGCAGCCACTATGATGCTAGAAAATCCTACATGTTTTTAGATGGAGTAGTAAACGAATCTCGTCTTTGGCACCACTGATTTGGTCATTTACATTACAATGACTTGAAGTTACTTTTCTATAAAGAGATGGTTAATGGGCTACCCTCAATTATGACTCCACAAGATTTATGTACACACTGCTTAGTAGGAAAGCAACATCGAAATTCGATCCCAAAGAAAGGTGTTTGGGGAGCATCAACCAAGCCTCAACTTGTGCATGCAGACATATGTGGGCCTATCAAACCCACCCCAATCAGTAACAAGAGGTATATCTTAAATTTTAGGCTTAATACCTCTTTTTGTCCCTCTTTATAAGGGAAATGTTCAAGTTCGTCCTACCTTTTTTAAAAAGTTCAATGTGGTCCCAAGTTGTGAAAAAAGTGTCCAATTAAATCCTTTTTGGTCACAACGTTAAATATTTAACGATCCAGCTGACAGCGTGGAGTGATCTGTGCAACGTGGCTGTTTACCTTCATAATGTGGCAGTGACAGTGATTTTCATTAAATTTCACGTGGCAGTGGCATTGATTTTCATTAAATAAAGGCTTAGGGTTTGGTTTCCTCCGAATTGGTCTTTGAGAATTAGGAAGTGTTTGGGGAGACATAGGAATGGGTTCCCAAGGGTGTTCTTCGTTTTCGAAAAGCTAGGCCAAAGGATCTTCTCGTTCGTCCCATGGTGGTGCTTGTAGGGGAGGTGGGTTAATCCCTACTTGTTACTATGGTGATATTGAAGTAATAAAAGTGGCCAAAACTACGAAGAATGCTGGGAGAAATTTTTGGGGTTGTCCTCATTACAAGGTTTGAAGTATACCCTTCTCAGTTAATGTTTTCTTGAGTTGATTTGATGCATTTGTTCATAGATTCCCTAACATGGTGAATAACAGGGTGGATCTTCAATTGGGAGCTGCTTTAACTTTTTCAAGTGGTGTTGTGAAGACAACGTGGATGAAAGAGATTGCACAATTCTGAAGAGAATAAGTGAGCTGGAAAATGCAGTGAAGGATTTGCAGAAAATGCAGAAAAGGATGAAGTTGTTAGTTGTAGCTTTGTGTGTGTGTATTGTGGTTGACCTTGTAATTTTGAAGTTGTGGTTAGGTTGATTTAGTTAGATCGTGAATTTGGGTGTTTGTTATAAGTTGGCTTAATACCTGTTATGTATTTGGATGCTTGAAAAAAGTACGTTGACAATGCAAAGGTATTTTGGTTGGTGTAACATCAGTTATGCTATGCAATGTACAAAAATGTTGGAATCAGTCCCCCATTTGGTTTTAAAATATTGAAATAGGTCAACCCAATAATGCATATGATGATGACTAACGGCACATTTTACAAATCTAAGTACAAGCTTTGACCAAAACATGATGAAACCACTTTGATTCATTAAATAAAGGTAGTACATGTTTGTCACCAAAGTACATGATAGTGAATACATATAACCTCCAATTCATTTAAAAAGACAATACATATAACCTCCAATTCATCTAAATAGACAATACATGTCTGTGACCAAAATAAAGACAGTACAATACATAATAAACCAATTGATCTATCTATCTATCTTTTCTTCTGACTCTGAATTTTGATGAACGGGATGATTGGGAAATTGGAGGTGGATGAGATGGTTGTGTTGTTTCTAGTGACTGGGTTGTTTGTGTTGGCTGGGTTGGTTCTGGTGGCTGGGTTGCTTCTGCTGGCTGGGTTGCTTCTGCTGGTTGGGGCTGTAAAGGGCAGTTATTCATGTTGTGCTTTGTCTGACGGCAAATGCTACACTTTTTCCTATGACCTCCAACACGCATTTGAGTGTCGTCCTTAGTTAACTTCCATTTTTTCTACAACTACACTCTTTAGTGTCCAGATCCACTGTGAACTTTTTCCCAATGGATGAAGTGTGCCTAACCTCAAAAATCTTTCGTGCAACCCAGCTGAAAGAAATGAAGCACATGAACAATGAATGTAAATAACAAAATGTATATAAACTGTGGTGATAACATTACCTTGGCAGCCAAAATCTTGACAAATTACATTCTTTCTGAAGCCTCTTCTTTATCTTTGGGCATATTGTGAAGTCCATAGATGCCACCTTGCTTCTGTTGGTGGCCCACCTTTTCATGAGATACACTCTGATATTCTCCATCATTGTGATAATTGGTTTTCCTCTTGCATGAATGAG